TTGTGCTATCATAAAAATCATTAGCACAAACATCAACTCTAACACAAGTGACTTGATGCCTTGAAATGTTGTATGCAGCAAACATTATTTTTATTATAGAACTTCACAACAGTGAGAATCTAATAAAATTTCTTTTCTAATCTGACTTCGTTCAATCATTGTTTTCACTATAACTCATTTATCATGTATAGGTTTATAAACTAACCGTTAAGATAAACTTTGTTATTACATGACGGTCAGTCAACTCGACCAACTAAACCGTAGTACATAAAGTCGAATTCGTAACTGTAAGCACTTTGTTTAAAGTCACGTTTTTGAAGGAATTACCAACAGCATCATTGTTGTTATTAGAAAACTATTTCAGTGTCCTTTGTGTAAATTTATAAAACAACTACATCTAATATTAGTTTATAACAAACAAACGCATCTTTTACTTCAGTATTATTAGTTGAGAAAATGCATTAAATTATCAAAAGATTGAGAAAAAAGGAATTAGTCAATTCCACACATTTTAACTTATGTTCACCCTTATTTATGTTGATAGTTATGTAAACGTGAGAATAAATTACAATTACATTATTGAATTATTAGTTGTGTAAATATATTAAATTTAGCGTGACATAATTAATCCAAGACCATTTGTGAATCTGCACAGATAATTAAATTAACTGTTTTAATGAACGCTGTGGGATTGAAAGAATATGATATATTTACAACTATTCATGAATACACATAAATTTATTACCAGAGTTAAATACTGTGAAAGTTAACTTAGAAAAATGTTACAAGTTTTTTTAGTGGTAAACAACGTCATGTTCGTTTAGTCTTTTAATGCTGATAGAATTTTATCGACTAAGTTGCAGCATGACAATTAGTCCAAATGATTCGACATGTAAGTTGAGATGTTCGGTAAACGGAGGAAGCCGATAGGAAACCTTGGACCTAGGTTTCGTGTTACTTCGTAATCATCAGCAGGTTATACCTTCAATTTCTAGGGAACTTATGCCCCTGGCGGATTTAAATTTGTATCACATAGTTTCATAGTCTGAATTGTTACGACTGAGCTGTTTGGCAAACGACTGACCCATATGATTGAAATATTCATAATGGGTTGGTCACTGAGTAGTTACCAAAGTCATGTTTGACTAGTCCTTTATTGAGAAACGAATGAATTTGTTCAAGTATATAGATAATATTGAAGAGCCTATTATTTAAAAGTTAACGTCAAAATGAAAAAAATTGAACCAATAAGGTTTAATTCAATAGCAGTAGTAAATTCCACTGACAAGTGGACTGAGCCATGTTGGTAGATGTAGACTACCTGGTTGGGGTCCGCGAGATGATAGCAACCGATGGTTAGAGACCTTGAGTGACATGGCTCAAAATCGTTTGCAATGGCGCAGGTGTATCCACTCTTTGTGTTCTCCCGAATCCTAATCTTCTGAGTTCTTCGTGTCCCTTTTTTTAGCTTTCCAAATTTATTTCACTGGATTATACTCCTTTAATAACGTCTTCAAACCCTAATCTTTCCGATTACGGCCTATACTCTTACTATCTCTACCACTATGGAATTGGAATCGACAACTGCATCTCTGTGCTAATGTGGTGTGGCGACTCCAACTGATGTACGTACGTACGAAGTTCTACGTTGTTACTGATTGACTGAGTAGCAAATTTCAATACCATTATTTATATCAAAGAAACAGTAAATCTAGTAAATAATGATCAGAAATAATGTTAAAGAAACTATACACTTATGACTTGTGATTTTGTTTTCTGGCAAACATACGGATTCTTAAAAAAAATCACAAAACAATATTAAATTGATAGATAATTAGTCAGAGCTAAAACGAACATAAGTATAAATCGTCTTCATTCTTGAAGTTACGATGGGTAGAAGTGAGAGATTAGCGATTATTTCCCAACATTTATTGTTCACAGTGAACTAAAGGTCAAGCGCTCGCGTGAGAAATCGAAGGTCCTGGGCTCAATTCCCACGTGAGGGCCCGCGGATGCAGATTGCTGGGGAATCCCATAGTAGGACGAAACGGCTATCCAGTGCCTCCTGGTTTTCAATGATCGTCTAACACTGATCAGTTCATGATTTCAGTGAAAATTTAAAAAATCTCCGCAACCCCATTATATATATATATATAATACAATTGTCAGTAATTATCGTATTAATTTATATTGATTTTTTCTTATTTCTGAAGTATTAAGTGTGAAAACAGTTTAACCGGCTTCATTATTTCTCTAAAAAAATTTTATACCAACGACTAAATCAGTATACGTTAGTTAATATAATGAGCTATAGATAATAGATAGGTAAGGATATTCGCAAACATACGCTCATAGGTATTATAAAGAGAAAACATGAACGTCTCAACTATTCTTTATCAAGATTAGGTGTCTACAAAGATAGAATAAGTGTATACTGTTATGATTATGCAGATTAGTAAATAAATGTATGGCTTTCACTGATATGTTTTTTACTATTGATTGGTCACTGAGTAGTGAACAGGATCATATTTGTCTAGTATTTTACTGCCGATAGAACTCCATTGATCAAGTCGCAATGTAGACTCCAATTAAAGTGACTCGACATCGTGGGTACTATGTTGAGATGTTAGGTAGTTGGAGCTGGTCAACAACAAACAGTCAATTTAGAACTTATGATGTTTATGGTACTCGTCGGAATACCGTACCTGGAGTTTTAAGATAATGCCTTCTTGACAATTGTCAAGTGACACAAAATCTAGGTCTCAGTGTTCTCTGTAGATTCACTGAAACTAACAAACAGCTACTTTCCTTTTAGATTATTCAAGGATTTGTTTAATCCAAGCTAGAATATCATGAATCAACAAACTACGAGGAATTACTATGAATAACTTAATGGAAGAAGTGTTGTAAAGCCATCAGTCACCTGGAATTGACAAGGTTTGGATTTGTAGACAGCCTATATTATTTTTCTGTTGACTTAGAATCCCAATATTTTTCCATATATACCTTACCATAGATTTTTCGAACCATACTCCCAATATAAGCAAAGATGTATAGTGGCTAGCAGTGGAATCCAGGACGCGCGATTCGTCCTGTCTGGGACTCATCAGCTGGATGTACCTGCATCTCAGAGTTGATGTTCACTTTGGGACTCGAACTCAGTACCGTTCGCTCCAAACGCCATCGCGTTATCCACTTAGCTACTGAGTCCTGATATCCACTTGCTTGTGCAATGGGGTGAAGTTTAATTCACTTGGTATTGTTTTACTTGAATCTTCCCATTGAGTCCCAAACAGGATGAAACGCGCGTCCTGGATTCCACTGCTCGCCACTATCTATCTTTGCTTATAATGCTTGTAAATTAAGGCAATATCGAGGCATACGCACAGTATGCACAAATGCCAATAAGAGACTGATCAATTTCAGTCCTAAAACATCAATAGGACGATTCAAGTAAAACAATACCAGGTGAATCATACTCCCAATGTTTAATCATTCACCCAATTTGTGCTTCTACATTATTTCGATCTATTTGCCAGATGTATCATCAATTTTATTGCTTCGTCCTGATGTGTTATGAGGACTTAGGCCAGCGTACGTCTGCTCCAGGCTCTATGTTGATGATGACTGACTAGTGAATGTTTAGCACTTTTTATACAAATCTAGAATTTTCTTGAAGTTAATATGTGATACTAATTATAGTCAAGAATTCATTAGTCATACGTGGTTTCCATATATATATTCCCAAAAATTTATTAAATGATTCAAGCCTTTAATAATGAGTACATATTTTAATAGATGTTAACAATCAAAATTAACTGTTAATCTGATAATGATTAACATCCAAAGTAAATTATTATTAACATACAAATGATAAACAATCACATTTAACACTATTGGATGCTTGCTCAGCGGTCTACAAATTAAGCGTTTGCACGCGAAACTGAAGGTCTTGGGTTCGATTCCCGGTTGCGAGGTCATGAATATGCACTGTAGAGAGGTCCTATACTAGAATGAAATGGATGACCGGCGCTTCCAGGTCTTCAATGGTGATCTAACTTACATCGATTCATGATTCCAATGAAAATTATAATCCTAATTGAACTCATTTATGTTGTTACATTCTTCTTCTTTGTAAAAACTCTTCTTAATTAGATTACTGTTTCAAGGATAAATTAGAAAGGAAAACAAAGGCTGGATAAAATATCCTTTTTGTTCTGTAATTAGAACACGAAAAGCATGTGTACATACATATACATGCACAAAAATGTACTCCAAAAAAGAGCAATGCATAAGTAAAAACAACACAAAAATTATTTGCTTATTTTTACACAATATATGCATTATTTACAATTCAATATGAAAAGTCATCACACACAAAGTTGACCTTTCCCCACCCTGCCTACATGGAACCATTTATAAAAAGAAATGCATAAAATAAGTGAAAAAGCGTAATTAGATCGAGATGGTCAAAGAGAAGAGATAGCAAAAAAGCAGATGAAGAAACCGGGATCCCAGTTTGCTTTTTTTTATAGGAAATAAAAAATATCTACATGAAACGAAAATGAGAAAGCCCCATGGGGTGACAGTAAACAAACAAACAAATCGCAGGATATAAAATAAAATAAAACTTCGCACTGTGTTCAAAAATTAACACAAGTGATGGGCAATTGTAGTAGTGGGTTTATGTGTGTGTGTGTGTGTGAGCAGCATTGTGAACAAGGTAGTCAAGTCAGTAATACTGTAACAGACAGCATACAACCAAATAGAGCAAAAATTATTACAAATCAAAAGTTAAGATTAACATTTCCATATGTATGTGTGTATGACACACATTTATGAAGAAGTAGAAAGAAAATATCAAGGTGAATTGCCTCTGTTCAGTTCTATGTTCAAGAAACAAATGAAAACAAATTGAAATACATTCTATTAATTGACTGGTTGATTAATCGGTCTATCAGTTGGTTTAAGTTTGATGAAAAGGTAGAAAATAAAATTCCAAAAAAAAAAAATTAGGACGGAAGTCTGAGTAATCTAGGATTGCAGTAATGTGAATATTGCCAACAAAAGAAAAATAATAACTGTTTATTTTTGCATTAAATTAAAATGTAGATCATCAGACATATGTAACTGTTCAAAGTTGAAATGGATTCTACATCAAGTAGACAAATTAAATAGTGTTTACAAAACAGAAATAAATAAAACAAAAATTTTTGGAGATTAAAATTGATTTGTAAATAAATAAGACAGATAGGATTAGGCGCTAATTATTTATAAGATAAATTTATACAAATAAACATAAGGAAGCGAACAAATAAGCAAGTAAGCAGGTACGTAACAGAATATGCCTATCATCATCCTTAATAATAATAATAATAATAATAATAATAATAATAATAATAAAATAAAAATAAGAAAGACCAATTATTATATTGTTTCATTTTCTTGCTTAATTGTACACTTACCAATAAAAATGCGGTCTATCATATGAAACAAAATGGATTGAATTTGAATAAAATTACAAAATTTGAAGTGAATTTTTGTTTGAAAACCGTAAAAATTCTCATTGATGATGATCTAGAAGTTAAGGTTATTCGAAATATATAAATGCCATAAATAGGAGGAAATTCGATCCATCATTAAAAACGATGCCCCCCTTTTTTGAGAAAATAGAAAAGTAACAGGAAATATTAGAAGATAACTGATTCATTTAACAGTTCAATATAGTTAATTTAATACAGAAGATAATTGATTAACAGCAGACTTGTAAACATACAGATGAAGACAATGATTTTTGTCTATCAAAAAAAAAAATAATCAAAAGCCACATAGAAATTATTTCGTACGAGAACAGCATAGAGCTGAGAAACAAGTACAAAAATGTGGACGTTGATGCTTTGAATTGATAATTTTATGAGATACAGCGCTAGAATCCACACTATAATGACTATTAGTTGTTATAGATATTGGTGTTTTTGTTGTAAGAAAATCATCATTCTTTATATCATTCTGAGTACATTGTGTATTAGTTGATATAGATGTTAAACAATCGGATTTAACAATATTTTCTTGTTTAAATGAATGTTCTTTACTTGAAAACTTGGTTTCAGCACTTGATAAACCAGATTTATTAAGCTTTTCTAATCCCGATGAAACACCACTTGTTGTTATTTGTTCTTCAGTGTCTACTGGGTTATTATTATTAATTATTGGTTGATTATCATCGATAGGCGGACCATGAGGTCGGTGTTTACGCTTAAACAATCTACTGAAAAAACTTTGACTATGAGCGGAGTTTTGTTGAACAGGTGGAGTATCTGGATTTAAATTATCTACTAAAGTTCCATCAGATTTATAAAATTCATTTAGATCATCGAAACAACCAGTTTCTAACATCTAAAAGAAACGAAAAGCAAGATGATAAGAATTTATAATAAGAAGGAAATATATGATAACAATGACTATTTATTATTAATAAGTAATCATTATCTGGGATTGTAAGAGAAAACTGAGATCAGTGGTTGAATACTTTAGGTGGTATAGTTCAAGATTGGTCATCAAGTTAAAAGAAAATTAGACAATTGACGGTATTTATGTGGTGTATGCTATGTACGTTGACAGATATAAGTAGTATGTAGCAGCAATAGGAAGTGGAATACCTGTCAGCAGAAGGTTGAATTGAAGAGAATAAAAAAAGAGACAGAAAGCAATTGTAATAACAACAGAATTGAAAGAATCGTGAAATATGTAAAGGACAACTGAAGAAAAATTTGTAAATAATATATTTAATGCATGATTTTCATATTTTACGAAGCCAATGGTATTAATGTCTAACCTCAGCCGATCTACGAAATTGAGCGACCATCTTCCATTGAACTGAGGTAGATACCTGTCTCTACCTGACCTAGTTTTCTACCAACCAGAACAACACATTTATTTAAAGGCCATAACGCTCTTCTAACGACAGGTATCAGTGAAAAAAGGAAAACAAGGAAGGTTTTCTATCCTGACCTACTTATCTTCTTACGTATAACACTGATAATGCCCGTTCAATAATTGTAGTAAAAGCGATGTATGTTTATAGTGAATCTTTGGATTGATCCTGAATTCTACCTGATTTCACTAAACATTCAATAACGCCATTTGATGTCAACCACTTGATTCACCATTGAATATTTCATAACCACAAGTATTGCGTATCAACATTTTTTACACCAAAGAAAAATGTTTCATTGCAACTATTTTGTTACTATATGTTCAACAAATTCTATATATTAACAGACTTTTTTACCCACTGTAAGATAAGTTAGTGATCCTATAACAAGCATGAGGTTTACAAAAAGTCAGACAAAGAAAGTGTTTTCATACAAATATATATTTTAAGGAATTTGTCTGAATTCAAAATTTCAATAGAACCTGGCACATATAGCATCGGTTCAATTCGTCAAACTCCATTATAGCAGAGAAAGATAAAACTATCCAGACAACTCTCAGAGTAGTAGTAACAGTATCAGCAGTAGTATAAAGAATTATGTTTAGAAAAAAGAAACAAAAAGGCATAAGGAGATTTCGGGATTCAAGAACTAAGGGAAGACAGAGCGTGAATGTACCTGTGACATTACCAATGATCCTGAGCCATATCACTCAAAGTCTCAAGTCATTTATTTAAGTAGTCGTGTGAACTCTAATCAGGTAGTCTACACATACCTACAAAGTTCAGATTAATAGTCAATGACCTTATGGACTGGAGACATGTATTAGTTCGGTCACTCTTAACTTTCTTCCAACCTACTTCTACACTAGACAATACCCCCCGTCGGGGTAGACGGTGGTTGTGTATACGTAACACATATCCCAACCACCTCAGTTGATGAAGATTTATTTCATCAACCGATTAGTCATCTTTATTTAGTGTCCTATTCCTAATGCATTGTTCACTCGATAGTCCCAAAATACACGAGCGATGGTACGAATAGATCTATGCTCAGTGGCTATTAGCCTACGAATATTGTGTATTTTTAATAGTCGTGCTTCAAACCCATAAAGTAGGACAGGGCGAAATGTTGTGCAGTGAACTTTTCCTTTGGTTGATAGACGGACACTTCACTCAAGCTACAGGAGACGCAGGTGGTAGAAGCTAGACGGGCCTTCTGAATATGTGCCAAGATTTGATCAGGAGCATATGTATTTGGTGTCTCTTTGTACTAATGTTTATGTGTCTAAATAGGTGAATATAACTTCCCAGGAATGATGAAACTTCAAAGACAAGTAAACTAATCAACTGACTCAGATCAGCTTTCAATGACATGAAAAAAATTTGTTACAATGGCATTATATATATATTATTGATAAAATGAGTTTTACTCCTTTGATTTTCATTTAGATGAAGGACTGCTGCTTACACTTTTCGCATAATTGAATATATTCACAATGATTAATATTATACACTTACTTCATTCTGCCACGGTATACTGACAGCACCAGAACAAAACTTTTTATAAAATTCCATATCTTTATTGTCTAAAGTAACACCTTTAATTGTAGAGAACTGTTCAATATCTAAAACATCCTTTGCGTAAACTGCATGAGGCTGCAAGATAAAGACAAAAAATAAATAGGAAAATCTGAAAACAAATGAACAAACAATTAGTAAATTCGATAACAAAAGTCTTATCAATAGTTAAACGTTGGAAATAGAAGGTCGAACGTGGGTAAATAGACTTAGGATAGTCATCACAAAACATTAAAATCATTACGTAATAAGAAGTGTGTAAATAATTAGATAGTGAAGAATACAAACGGAAAGAGGCAGAAAGTTACAAACAAATAATAGATGTGAAAATAAGGATAACGATAACAAAAATATAATAAAATAAATAAATAAATAAATTTTAAAAAATCGTTTGTTAAGTTATAACTGGACATGGAAGGGATAGGGGATTACGAATTTCTTCTGTACACATAAATTGGGGTTATATGTACGAATTCCTATGGCTTCAGCTATATGTAGGGGGCGGGAACGGGCTCCGTTAGGAAATGACGGAGGTATACAATAGATCACTCGAAATGATTTCGATTTATCTACAGCATGACCGCTATCAATAAGATATGCCAATATAGAACTGCGAATTGTTTTTATCTGACCTTTTATAAACCAAGCTGGTAGATGTTAACTCATTCGCTGGTTAAGTTACCTGACCGAGATCGGCTACCCTAGTGTTTTCATTAGGAAGTACATGTATGATATAATAAAGAAGTCGGAGATTTCGACTGTTCGTAAGAAACCTTTATACATGAAACTACAATTCAACGGGGATGTGGCTAGTGACACTCTGAAATATAGGTTAACCAAAGTAATAACCAGGACATTCTACCCAGCCAATCTTGCGTTGACTTTCTCTTGTCGATCAATGATGTCTACGCAAACGAAGGATAAGTTACCAGAGTTGGCCTCCTCAATGTGCATTTACGAATTCAGCTGCCCCTGTGGAGATAGCTATATCGGGCGCACTACCAGGCAACTTAACCAGCGAATGAGTTAACATCTACCAGCTTGGTTTATAAAAGGTCAGATAAAAACAATTCGCAGTTCTATATTGGCATATCTTATTGATAGCGGTCATGCTGTAGATAAATCGAAATCATTTCGAGTGATCTATTGTATACCTCCGTCATTTCCTAACGGAGCCCGTTCCCGCCCCCTACATATAGCTGAAGCCATAGGAATTCGTACATATAACCCCAATTTATGTGTACAGAAGAAATTCGTAATCCCCTATCCCTTCCATGTCCAGTTATAACTTAACAAACGATTTTTTAAAATTTATTTATTTATTTATTTTATTATATTTTTGTTATCGTTATCCTTATTTTCACATCTATTATTTGTTTGTAACTTTCTGCCTCTTTCCGTTTGTATTCTTCACTATCTAATTATTTACACACTTCTTATTACGTAATGATTTTAATGTTTTGTGATGACTATCCTAAGTCTATTTACCCACGTTCGACCTTCTATTTCCAACGTTTAACTATTGATAAGACTTTTGTTATCGTATTTTATTATTCTTACCACTATCAGTACACCTGTCTTCCTACTATCAACATGAATTATGTGTGGTGACTTATTCTATTTCATTGTGATTATTGACCCGTATTGCCTTGATTGTTTTAACATTTTCGTATAAATATTCATGTATATTAGAGTAAAACCTGATGACAATCTAATTGAAAACAATTGTTCGCTTATATGTGTTGTTCTACTTTTCACAATGGGAATCTTTAAAATTGATAAATTAACAACAATCAGGTTAAGTTAAAGTACAATGATTTCATTGTTATAAAAGTAAAAAGATATCCATTCACTAAAGAAAAAAACCAATTTCAGAATTCAATATGTAAAATTTAAGTCAAAAGTGGCGGATATGGCCAAAACTAAATCACAATTATTAAAAATAATAGAAAGGAGTCAGTGAATAAAATATTCTTTTCGACGAAATCATTTACTTAAGCTGTGTATTCGTGTCTATAGTTATTTGATAAGTATGAGTTTGTAGAAGAATAGAAGAGATTGCATCATAGAGTAGTGATCCGAGATTTCAAATATTAGAACATTGTGTAAGAAGGCGAAAATAATTTACGGGTCGGAATTATGACAATTTTTCACCCAATAATCTACAACGTCAAAAGAATTGAATTAGAGGGAAGTTAAATCAAAACCTTATGCATTACTGAGGCATTGATGATCCATCAATTAAGGATAGTCTTTCATCCCACCATGAGTCTAATTCCCTTCTCCAGTATGTTTTGGTGTTGTTTCTGTTTTTATTATCATTTTGTAATTTTTTTTAAAAACCATAATCAGTCATTACTATCGTCTAAAGATCTTCTATGATTATTATTCAATTATTATCAAGACTTGTACGCTTTGTATTTCTTCTTCATATCTGTTAAATGGACAACCTTCTTTTGATATTTGAAATCTCGGATCACTATTTTATGGCACAATCTCTTTTATCCTTCTATAAACCCATATACTTACCAAATAACTACCAATACGAATATGCAACTTAATTAAGTGATTTCGTCGAAAACAATACTTGCTTCGCTGAATTCTTTTTTTCTATTTATATTCAATGATATAATTAGTAATACATTTCACTGAGTACATATTGACGTACATGTCATTCAATCACAATTTGTGGATTGAAGGGAGGATAAAGGTGAACGGAGAAGACCAAGTGATATTAACTTATCTTAACCAAAGCCCACGGAATGAGGTCTCTAATTTCAGTTTGTAATGAAATGTCTAAATCACTGAGTTGCACAAAAGAACCAAGTGTAAATATTATGAGTACTGAGGTTTGGACATTAATAACTTATTTTCTAATTATTTGATGTATGTAACAGTTATTGTTTGTATTTTTTTAATCTAATTAGCTTAACTGAGTTATTTAAAGAGAAGCTCACAACTGATCAACTATACACATACAAATAGGTGAGAAATTCAGACAAAACTATTGCAGTGAATGGTATATTTTTATCTTTGTTTATCATTCGAGAGAGCGAAATCCAAGTACATTAGAATTTATGAACGTTAATTCAAATAAATATCCTCTACAATACCCTAATTTAATAAATGTAACATATGTAAGGGTAGAATCAGTCCAAAACTTCTAGGTTTGAAGATAAATAAACATTTTTTTAATGATTCTTGCAAAGATATTTCTTAAACATGTTCTTCTTAGGCATTTGGAATTGACTGAGACAGTTAAAATCTAACCGGTATTGAAGTGTTTGTATGAATGATTTCCATTCATGTAAAAACACCTAATCGACTTTTTCAAAAAATTTCATTAAGTTATATATTTAAAACAATTATTCACATTAAAACATATGGTTGGTGAAAATATGCTTAATTTTGAGAGGTTTTTATCAATGGAACCTAGCATTACCCAGTTAAAACACTGAAATGAATTCATACATCCTAATGTGTAACATTTCAGTTCCATATAGTAATGACGGCCTAAATGATTGAATATATCCCATTTCAGTTTCACTACATAGAGCACAATGGCATTTAAGCGATTCAACTGAAATCACATAATTTTAATTATATTTAACTTTAGAATACTAGTAATATAGTACAATCATTATCGAATAATATCGGTGGGAAAATATCTCACACTATAGAAATTAAATTCTACAGAAGCGATCTGTGTTGTGATCCTTATGAGACCTGGTGGCTATTAGATTGAACATGTGTGGGGGCTAAGGTGTTGAGAAGCTTTAAACCAGGACAAAACACTCATTTGCATGAGCGAGTTGAAATGTAATTCCTTTATTTATTGGCGCAACAACTTAAAACTCAGAAACAAGATCAAAGGGCATTATGTAATGATAAAACACTCAAAAATTAGCGAGCTAAGAAAGTTTAAATAAAATAATAATAAATTTAAATTTACCAGTAAATTAACAACCTATTGATCAATGAGCAGTGACCAATGTCATGTTCATCCATTTCTTTAATGCTGGTTAAATTCTATTGATCAAGCTTAAAACTGGACACTAAATTCATTAACTCGATATTTTGTAAATTTTGGTTTGATGTTATGTCGTTGGAGATATTCAGCTTAATTTAATCATTACTAAAGGACTGTACACAAACATGACATTGAACCCTACTCGGTAATCAACCAATGCAAATAACGAAGTACTACATGTTGCTAATCGTGATCTGAATAGCTCAGCGATAATGTTTTGGACTGTGGATCTGGATAATCCGAGATCCAATCCCACAAAGAGCAATACTACAGAGGCTGAGATTGGTGTTCTGAACTTAACTGGCTGGGCTAGGCGGAAAGCAGGACCGATCAGGACTCTAGACTGCTCGCACGGGTTTTACGAGCCATTGGTCCGATCGATAATTCACTGCTCTATAATTGGCGGTCACAAGTATGACAATAGGCTCAAGTTGCCACACTTTATTAGCATAGAGAGATCACATAGTCAAGGCAAATCCCATAGTAGTAAATGTAGTGATATTATTGTCGGTAAAAGAAAATATTAAGCATAAAAGACATGATTCGAGAAGAAAATATAAATCATTAAAGTAAAAATAATTCTAAGGAATTCAAAAGCTTCGAATATGGGGGGAGACAAATAATGGATGCACCTGCACCATTTCAAATGATTTTGGATCATGTCATTAGAAGTCTCTAACCAATGTTTACGATAATCGAAAGGACCCTGACCACGTAGTTTATACTTTTTAACATGGCTCAGTTCAATTGATAATGACATCACGGGCTAACGTCATGTTTGTGTTTGACCGCTCCTAGTTTTTTTCCGGCCTACAACAAGATGACGTTTATGACCATTTAATATACAAATCAATTATTTTTCGTAATTTTCCCATTTTGCCAATCGATAGCAACACTTTTCTTTAAAAAAACCCTGATAAATCGGTCGAATTAGTACGCCTTAGGTATCATTTTGCTTTAAAAAGAAAACATAACAACACGAACAAAATGGTTCTAAAATGTGACCAAGTACACGTCTGTGTACTCAACTTTTCTGTATATTTAGTGCGTGAGTTTGAAGGATAGCTAGTGATACTATCCCGTTGGTCATATACAAACATACGTAAAAGTGAACAAAGCGCTTTTTTTAAAATTAGAACTTAATATTTCAAAGCCATATAGATTAGCTATTAATAAAGATTTTTAAAAAGACTTCATTATCGTTGTAATTTAAATGACGAGCAGTTGTTAGTTAGATCACTACCGAAAACCTGAAAGCACCGGACGGCCGTTTCACCCTAGTAATGGGACTTCTCAAAAGAGCGCATTCATGACCTCGCAGCCTGGAACCGAACCCATGACTTTCAGTTTTGCGGGCAGACGCTTAACCTCCGAACCACTGATTCAGAATTCAACGGTGTTAATGTCACAGAAATGCGCAAACCATCCACTTTCTGTGGTAGATTACCGTCCTCACCCGACGTGGTTGAGTCCCATTGGTCACGGATTCTCACTAGAACTCCAAGAGTTCCATCTTGAAGCTAGTCACCAGTGAGCTGATCATTATTATTAGTATAGTGGAATTTGTTACGATTGAAGAATTTTCAGCTTAAACCATTGTTCATGAATACGGGGTCGTGGATGTACACCACTGAGGAAACCCACGCCAAGACGAAACGGTCATCCAGTGCTTCCAGTTTTTCAATAGTGGTCTAAGATCAGCTTGTAATTTAAGCCATGAAAATTCTGCAATCCACACAAGTCCCCCTTGACTTCTATATTGATTGATTCATTATGGTCATATAAGATCATACTTTGCTTTCAAAGTATATCATAACTAAACACTACACTAATAATAACATAATAAACGCGAAAGTTTATACATCAATTCACTGAAGAAAAAACTCTTTTTTACCTAACATTAATAAAGACAAAACATAAAATGATATTGTTTTACTATCAGCATCCATTAATTTCAAGAGACTAGAAGGAATGAAACAAAGCAAACTAAACTGTAGGAATTAATATCGTCGTCATCATCATCGAAAAAATTACGTAATCACGAAAAACTAAACGACAAATTTATCAGGCTAGTATGCAAATATACACACCATTATAGATCAAACAACTAAGAAATTTAACGTAATGAAGTTATAATTTTAGACGTACATGTTGAAGCGAACACATAATTTAGATAATACGTTACAAGTTAGCAAAAATTAAATCTATAGCCTAATGATTTTAAAATTAACAGTCATCTGTGAAAGCATTAAAGGCTATTTCAACGATTGGTACTTTGATGAAAAAACTGGACAGTCGTTTCGTCATAACATGGGACTCTTCAAGAGTGCACATCCGTAACACTCCTAGGGACCAAACGTAACATGTTCAGGTATCGTGGTGAACGGTTGACTATTAGAACAACTAAGTAGCGGTTTCGATAGTACAACTAAACCTTCAATCAATATTCAACATAGCTCAATAATTACTCATTATCATTAATGAAAACTATTTTACTTCCATTATGTCTGGACTCTACCAGCCATGATAAAACAATTGTACAGTGTTCCTCTGTTTTCAACAATACTTCAACTTATGTTAATCTATGACAAATATAACCAACTAATTAAACTAATTTCCAAAAAAAACTCTATTAACTAAAAGAATAATTATTTTTTAGTTATATCCTTGATGAAGTTATCTGTTAAAATATTTAAAAATGGTACTAATCTTCAAGAAAAATTTCATTAATAATTGGATTTAACAAAAATACGGATTTCTAACACCATTAATTGATTTAAATTTAATATATTTCAATATTTTGATAAATCTTAAAGTAATCTCAATAGGATTATCTTCAATAGAAATGTACACATTTGCTATATCTAGTACATTTCAGCGAATCAGTCAGTCAGTCAGCTACAACGTACGACCAGGCACATATATGCATCGGTTCAGAGAATTAACAATGTAGATTAATTATAAATAATAAAAAAGTTATAATTATGAAATGATGAGATTGTAATCAAAATGCTTATTAAAAAGATGAACTTTACATTGTAATTACATAGGGGATCAAGTGTTATATTTAATGTGATTGAACTATAAAAGTTAGCTAGATATTTCTTATATTATTACAATTAAATTTAACATTATTCAAGAAATTTCAAAGGTTTATTTCTTTTTTTTACGTGTATATGTTGAACAAAATTTTCTTTTCAAAGAGAAACTTACTCAAATTAGTAATTTTTCATAAGTTCTGCATTTCTAGAAAAGTGATGCAATAAATTAGTGATATTTTTTGTGTAATCGTAAATTGGCTTAATTTATTTACTCGTAAATCTATAATTTATATACAATTTGATATTAAAATTTTAATTATTATTAACCTAGAAGCTTTTAGTTTGATTTTATGAGTAGATATAATTAGGAGCTATAAATATATATGTTTCGGCTTTAGTAAGACTCATCAGAGAAATGAATGTTGGACTTGTTATATTCGACACTTCAACTTATTATTTTATCACTACTAACAAGATATTAAATGATCTTGTTTAAATGAGTATTACGTTAATGAATTAACATTTCACTGTTAGTTAGACAGTATTAACCAATAAATATATGTCCACTTGGTTTATTATTGAAATTATGATGTTATAACTTTAACTAGGTTGGAATAGCTGTTTAGCTTAATGCCCAACGCTTTTAAAGAGTATGAATCATTATGTTAGCTACTCAATTTCCAAACTCTATCGGTTAGTATCTGAACTTATAAATTGTATCGTTAACCATCAATATATATCATATGAACTTATATTATTTGTAAGAAGCATAATGTCCGGACTGATAAATTTATTTATCGCGTACACATGTTTATTTTCGTAATGCGTGTAAAAGTGGTAAACTTACATCAGGAAGAAATGGTGCATCCTCAAGTCCAGCCTCTAAACGTACCCAATTGATACAGGAAAACCAGTTGTGATGTTTAACACCTTCGGGACCAGCATCATCACAACCAAGTCGACAATGTGGATCTTTTTGTAAAAGCTTTAAAAAAAGGTATGACGAAGAATGTAGATTCAATTATACAAGGCAAAAAAAAGAAGTCTAGTGAAATTTCATAAAATGAAAATTAACTATCACGAATGTGAATTAAGAAAGTCCTTAAAATCAAACAAGATTAATTATTACGACATGTATACTTAAGAAATACACAACACATCAACTATTAATTGAAAAAATTTAAGCAATTTTTATAGGTCACATAGATTATCAGATGAAATCAACAATATTATTATTATTCACCTAAGAAATTTGAACTAAAAGCCAATTGTGTTTAAACTGCAGTATCTAATTCAATGGACTGGTTACATGTTCCTGAAAGATAGTATTTTTCCAAAGTAAAAGTATATTAATAGCCCATAAATATTAAATAGAATCCTATATCTTTTGTATTACACAAAATACCAAATGAAATTCTTTTAAAGAAAAACAGATTAGCCTTTAATCGTGGGTGGATGAAAAACATTCAAATCTCTTACGGAATACTATCACTCTAAAGATTTTATATACACATACATTGTTGACAAGTATCAATTGGCATGAAATTTCGGTTTTCTACCAATGGCTTTCATTTATTAAACAATAAAGAAGAAAGTGCACATTGTGCAATCTATCAAACCATATAGATTAGCGAACATACTGTAAAGTGTTAAATGAACATTTGATCGCATGAAATGATAAGATAGCACACAATATCGGTTCCTATTAAGTGATAATTAATATAAACTTGTATATACAAGCTTGAACATACTATAATTAGAAATTCATAGCGTAAGCAGATTGTGATTATATATATATATATAATAATTCATAAGTGTGTATCCACGACTTCGCCATAGGTAGTCGAACTGAAGACCTTCGGTTTCAAGTGCAAACGCCTAACATTTAAACCACTGACCCGAGAAACAGTGGTATACATGTCTAAGATGGAAGAGATGACCAGTGCATCTTGATTTTCAATGATGGTGTATTTACGATCAGTTTATGATATAAACTACAGAAACCCTATCATCTCCACATAACCCTTTACTGATAAACAAAAAGGTTTGAATCGCTTCTGTTTTGATGAAGTAACAAACACTGAATTATTAAAATCTAATCGTCCTCAGTGCTGTATTTGTAGCTTGAGTGCATCATAGTATCCTTCTTTTATTTGCTATCTATTACTAAACCCTACTGTATTATTTTTGTTACTATCATTTATTATTATTATTATTATAACAGGAATTCTACTTATTTTACAGTTCAGTAAAGCAAGAAAATTTATCCACTATGTTATTACATCTATCCAAGCTAAGACGCTAATCCTCCATGGAATTCATTGCATTTATTTTCTTCACCCAATATTTTGTTTCTTTCTTCAACCATTACATCATTCAATAAGTAATCAGTGAAGTAACAATAATAACAAGTAAGTTACGCTACAAAATAAATATAAAACAACCAGTTGTGTTTACGTCATAATATTGACAGGAAGTAGATGTGCAATATATAATTTGGAAAAATATTTTGGAAAAATACAAATCATTGTACATTATGTAAACAGACAAAGATTTTTAAATTAAAACAAAAATTATTTGTTTCAATTATTTTATTTAGTTGAGACCATGAGTCAGTTGGAGCTAGACCACTAAGGTTAGACATTAACACCGTTGGATGACGGCTCATTGGTCTAGTGGTTAAGCGCTCGCACACAAGACTGACAAGTCCTGGGTTCGAATCCCGAGGGGCGGGGTCGTGGATGCACACTGCTGAGGAGTCCCACAATAGGACGAAATGGCCGTCCAGTGTTTCCATGGTGGTTTAGCTTTAATTGGCTCATGATCTCATGATTTTCATGCTTGTTTGTTAATAAAAGTTAACATTATTAGTGTTATTGTGATTTTATAAATTTATTTTTTAACTGTGAATAACATCCCTGTAATCGAGTACATGTTGATGTGGTCAGTATTCACTTACATTTTCTATGTATGCTAGTTAGTTGGGGCTAGTTGATAAAAACCTTTGGACCTAACTTTCATGCTAGTTGACATTCGTTAGAAAAGTACACCTGAAATCTAAAGGGAACTAATGGTCCTTGAAAGATTCGAATACGGGTCATTCAACTTAACAATCTAAGAATTTACCACTAAGTTATTCGAGTAGCAACTGACCTCTTATAGGATTGAGTAGTGGCCAATGTCATATTCGTTTGGCTCTTTTACCACTGATCAAATTCTCTAGAATTTTCTTGATAAGAGGGAGTACACAGGTACCACTACTCAACTTTGCAAGCTGAAGCAGTTGCACTGGGGCTCTAAATTATCCCATAATGATAATTGAAAATTAAGTTCTTAGAATGGTTTTCAACTGTAAAAATAATATTTGTACATGTATGTTAAACGGAAGCAAAAATAATCCACATCAGAAAACCTGAAGCATTAGAAGTAATATGTCGGGCAGTTCCAAAATATTCATCGTTGAAGTGTCTCTAAAGGCCCAGAAAAGCCAGGAAACGTTTTAACCAATCGGTGTGGAATGGAATCTTCACAGAGATATATAGAAAACGCAGAATTACATGTCACGGTTTTGATTGGATATTTATCTATACTGCTACTATATTTAGCACAGCTCCATCAATGTCTATAAGCCGAAGGTCGTACATAACTCTATAAATAGTCGTTTTCCTGCAGATGAACTAATCTTGGTGTAAAACTTTTACTGGCGATTCGCACCTTCTCTTATTGTTTCAGTTGACTTCTAGGAGTAGTTGAGGTTATAGGAACCGATTAGGAAGACACTTTAGACGTATCAGTAACAGGTTTATCAAAATACATTTTAACTGTTGAGAACTTTGCAAACGTAATTGATGTATTTCACGCTGCTTACATAATTAAAGCTGAAAACTTATGGAACTATTCGGTTAACTGACGAAATCCGTCATGATGATATATACGTATGCTCAACTTTCAGTAAATTTCTAGTCTCAATATTATTTCATACGATTTTATTCCTGAATTTTATTAATCATTCTCAAATTACATATTATATCTTTAATTTTTCTTACAATATCGATGATACTATGATTCTAACAAACTTCTTTTTCATCATATTAGTTTACTCACTTCCTTAATATGCTGATGTAAAGTGTAGTAAAGGTTTATGACTCTAAACAGACAGACTGATCAAACAAGTAAAGTTAATTCAACTCAACGTTGATGGAAAGCACTTACATAAATTGATTTTTACAATAATAAAAGATTAATCGCACAATGATATAATAACTTACAGACTGACAAAATCTTTTTGAATTATCTGAAAATTTATAATTATATTCTTCTGTATCCTCACATACACGACGATCAACTTCTTCACGTCGAATACGTTCTTTACGTCGACGAAACGGTGCTTGTCCCATAATCATTTCATAAACAATACAACCTAATCCAAACCAATCGGGACTGAATGTATAACGTGTATTCATGACTACTTCAGGTGCTATATTAGTAATAAGTAAATTGAAGTTAATAATAATAATAATAATAATAATAATAATAATAATAATAATAATAACAATAATAATAATGGGCAACTGACTTTTGATGATAACTTAATGACAATAAAATTTAAATTCAGTGTAATTATGTCACCAAGATAACAATACACTAAATCGATTTAAATTACATATGAAAAACATACATTTTCTACCTATACATACACATGCAATGAATGTACAACATCAACCATACAACAGATTCTGTAAACAATGAACAACAATTTTCATTAAATGACTGATCGTCTTAGGTGAATTTCATTTGCAAGGTATCTAGTCATTGTTTGATTAAAATCGAACGTGTAGTTTGAAGTCAAAGGAGTAACAATAATGAGAAAGATTCAACTCAAAATTCTATTTAAACAATGAGTGTTTGAAATAAAACGATGAAAATTGTGAATACATTGTTTTTACCTGTTTACATATGATGTAAGGTGTGGGACTTTCAGCATTGACAACAGTTGTTAATTAGCCCTGATATTTTAAAAATGCTGAGAGAAACGAAACATTTTCGAAAATACCAAGCGTCAATAAGAATGTAGACCCCACTTCGCAGAAGCAATAAGTCAGATCACTTGGAAATAACACTGATAATCAGCTCTGAGGGTTCTTTTTAATATCGAAAGAGTGGAATCATGAGTATTGAATCATTTAGCTTAGAGAACCGTGGAAAATTATGGAGCACCTGAGAGCTGTTTAGACTTAGTTAAGAACTCCAACACTACACACTCATTAACTAACTAGAGATCGATAGAGTTTAACAGTGTTGGAAGTGGGACAGATAACACTGACTGGACTGTATAATTATTGTGCTACATTCCGTGAACCACTGAACTTCAACTCAGTAGAATAGAAGATAAAACATTCAGTTGACAACAGTGTAAATATGGTTTTCAAGTAACTTGAAATGTATTAGTTTCATCGGTGCGCTATCATCATATATCTTTCCAGTGAATATTCGAACTATGGTCCAAATTCATTAGTATATTGCAAAAATATCTTATACAAATCACTCACTTATTATTTCTGAGCATAATTAGTAAACCTAAATCTTGCCTTTATGAATTACTCACGTAATTATTCAATGGTAGGGTGGTAATATTACAATTCAGCGTGGGAAAATATAAATGAGAATTCCAAATTTTATTCATGAATTAAAATCTATGGAATCAGCAACGTTTGATGTTTCTGTCAACAACTCTCATATTTGAATTAAAATACTGCTCGGATTTCAATGATAACTTTCAATTCAATGTACCAAAAAGGAGAATTTATGGACAGTAGATTACTAACACACATATACTATAGTAAAATGGTAACATAGTTCAATATTTGATAAAAACTATTGTTCGAAGAGAGACTAGTATTTCCCAAAAAATATTTTACTGCATCTACAAAAAATAATATTATTGCACAACACATTTGCATATGCCTATTCACAGATGACCTAGAAAACATAAGACAAAACAAATCAGAAGGAAATGTATCCAATGTCATTGTATCGAACGTAGCATATGAATTCACGGTGGGATTTCCAGCCCTTAAAGGTAAAAATTCCAATTGTGCTAATAAACAAACGATATTATATATATATATATATATATATATATATATATATATATATATATATATATATATATATATATATAGAGAGAGAGAGAGAGAGAGAGAGAGAGAGAGAGATGGATAAGACATGTGAGTGCTACACTTACCCATATAACCAGCTGTTCCAACTCTTCCTTTAGCTGTACCGCCAGGTTCAATATATACGGCCAAGCCAAGATCCGAAATTCTAACATGTCCTATTTTAAAAAAAACATTATGATCAATGAAACTAAGTAGTAGATAGAAATGCTTGATATCTTTAAAAATATACTTGCAAAACCATCACATATACTTTGTAGAATTCCCTCAAACTCAATAAAAACATGAAAAGTTAAGTTAGAAGTTATGATGAAAAATATCAGTTTATGGATTTCCCATTAGCATATACAGTATAATTGTTGTGAGAGAATAAGTCTTCCATTTTTTGTTTTCTCCAGGTTATTTACTAGTTAAACAGACATATGACCAGAGGAAAGAGAAAAAATAGTATCTTCAATTGGATTAATTTCATGCTAAGGCTTTTCATTGATACATTTTCGATAAATTAACTGTCAAAAGACACTTTTATGTTAAGAATGAAGTGATTTATGTCGACTAAGATTTAAGATGTAATTTTTAACCCTAAGAATGTGATCTGTTTACGATGAATGAACAAGTTCTGGTGTAGGAAAAAAGAGAATGAATATACATATGAATCAGACTGTGAAACATGACTAACGTAAAGAATTACACTCCTATAAGCGTTTATACATTGCTGATTCAACTATTTAGCTAAAGATATAACAGGCAACAAGGGTGGTAGATGGATATCCAATTATCTTGAATTAATTAATCAAGATTAAGTAGATAGAGCTGGTCACATCCAGTACCTTATTTAGATTTTAATTGGCGACTTACGTATTGAAATCTATGATAAGGGTTCGACATTATTTGGAATGTATTGCACAATTCAATACAAGAAGTAGATTCATAAGCTCCAAGAGTTGCCCACCTCTTGTTTACATTCTAATGACAATATTTATATTGTTACAGCTCCTAGATTTATCGTTTGTTAAACTACAGAAGCAATCATCATACGTATCAAAATAATTTGACTCATGAAATGATAAAGATTTGTAGCTCAGATGAATGCTTTTTGATAAATTGTGTCTGCAGAGTTCTATATGGTTCAATTCAGAAGCGTTATTTGTCGCTTTAAACAACACTATCATAGCTTACTTCATGTAAAATTTATCCAGAACGATAATGAAAGCTTAGCGACTGAGATATACAGCTAAGAGAACACAATGCAACCAAAAAGTCGACTTGTTCATTTTAAAGAAACCAACAGGAATTAATGGCTATCGAATTAATAAACATATATAACATCTCATGATTCGTATTTTTTACACAATTTCGTAAATTTTGAAAAAACGAAATTTGTTGTGTGTTTTATGTTTAAATACGCTTGGAACATGAGTATGAAAGAACTAGTTCATTAATCGCAAAGAATCACACATGAAGTTGGAAATCAAATTCAAAGAAGCTCAATAAATATTGATTCAAACTGTTCACTAGTCTAAAAGTTATCCATTTAATAGTACAAATAAATTTTGATATGTAACGAATTACAGATACGCAAGTGAAGAGTTTAAGAATGGAATAATTGAGTAGAATATTTTCTTTTTCATTTGAATAATTGGTGTTTAATAATAATAATAATAATAATAATAATAATAATAATAATAATAATAATAATAATAATAATAATAATAATAATAATAGTAATAAACATTTGTACTGAGTATGGATTCCAGAAACCATTTTGAAAACAGGAAAAATTAATTATTAAAATTTTCAGTTGGAATGAAGAATATTTTATTTGTCCTAACCAATCGTTTGAATGATTGAATAAGAATCACTAGATTTGTCCGGTCAACTACCAGAGACTAAAGAGATGTGGTAAATAATAATAACTTAACGGCTTTCCGTTCTTAATATGGTACTTCAACATAATGAAAAATATGTGTTTTAAATTAATAAGTACGAAAAGTTTACGATGATCCAGTCACTGAATGTATCTTTTGGTCAGTTTTGTTAATAACATATAAAAAGAAGCAGATAAACCAAACTATTTGGAACTTGCTTATTTATAACCATTATTAAATTGATATAGACTTTAAAGAATGTCCTACTGAATCAAAGATAATCCATACAAGCAAACAGAACAAACGTAATTTTAATGACATGCAATGAGTATGGTCAAATAATAAAAAATTACCAACCTTGATCATCAATCAAAATGTTTTCTGGTTTTAAATCACGATAAACAATATTTTGTGTATGCATATGTTGTAAACCTAAAGTGATTTCCGCAGCATAAAATCTTGCTCGATTCTCATTGAAACCACTGCCATTATTCATATTATGTATATGAAATTTTAGATCACCACCGTTCATAATTGTAAGAACTAGGCACAAAGCATCTTTAGTTTCAAATGTATACGCCAGATTGACCTGAATACAACAGCAATAATAATAATAATAATAATAATAATAATAATAATAATAATAATAATAATAAACAGGATGAGATTATGAAGCAAACGTGTGAAAATGTACGTCTGCTTTGACTGAAAATGAATTGTTTTAGTAGAATAGTGATGATAATGTATTAATCAATATCATGTCTATATCTCCAGCTTTTGTTGTTTCGATATATAATTTACTATGTGAATATTCAAATATTTAGCTATGAGCCTCAATTCAAGCGTAAAGGTTAAAGATATTACCCAACTGCCTAAAATAGGGTAGGTGAAGCAAGGTCAGAAGAATCTGTGATTCAACGATTGAAAGCTAAATGTTTTAATCCTAAAGTCGCCATTGTTGCTTTTGTAGGTGGACTCTCAGTGTCCATAAACCCGGCTAAAGCGCCGGACATTCTCTTTTCGTCCTCTCGATTTCGTAAACAACAGTAATGGCGCGACAAGGCTGTGAATAGGACTTCCCTAGTAGTAGTTGTATGCACGTGGCCATGTGAGAGCGTTTCGAGAGGGAGAGCTGACTCTCCCCACTTTCGGCCGTACCAGGGCATTTGGGAGTCAGATCTACCACAAATCTACTACGTGGAGAACTACTTTTATCATTAAGTGTAAAGATAGTATGATTTTACCAAACCGTAAGATACAGGCTTCTCAAAATGTATTAACTGTGTTGGAGATTTTTGTGGGTAATTATAATATATACTATGATTATTGAATAGCAGCTAAGTAATTATAGCACTTTCCTTCTTATAGCTAATTTTCTGGTTCAAACCTCGCCTCACTTACTTTAGTCAAGACAGTCAAGTAGTTAGTAGCCCTCAAACAGAAACGGATTATATTTAATCTCAATTCCAACATTTTATCTTATCGTGCTGAGCCATCCGTTCCCATAGATAATTTCCCTATCTATTTTTTGATGAATACTTAAGCCATTAGAAATCAAAAGATCACTAAACTTTCCTTGCTTTATAAAAAAACTTTTTAATACCTTTGTTTATTTGACCTAACTGTCACCATGTCTAACAGAAGTTTATTATCAGTATTATTATCATCCTGAAAAAATGAGTATATATATACATATATATATGCGATTGTACAGCTTCGAAAATGAATTCGCCGAAAAGAGAACTCTTCGCTGAACTAATCTTTCTTATTGAATATCTTAATGGGTGCATTCCGTTTACTAAGAAATGGATGACCGAAATCTGATTATAAGGACCTATACTTGAGTGTTTAACTGCATTGGAAATCAAACTGTACCTACATCGTGTAAGATTTTTCTAAAACAGATGGGAACCTGTATTGTCCCTTAGCCCTTGTGGTGAGATGCCGGAAGTAATTCGGGAAGTTTATGTGCATGTGTAGTTGTGTGAGTGCTAGTGATGACTTGATAATCGAGATCGGTCGCGAAATCTAGACCAGCTTATGCCAATGTTAGTCACTACTGGCATCGCCGTGATGTTGGCTTGACCATGAATCTCCAGGTACATCGTGCTGCAAAGCGAACAGTCCTGTTAGATTTATGAATGTGGTCACACTAACCTGAGAATGTTAAAAAACTCTTTAAGTTTGATCGTCTCTCCTTTTTAGGGGATTTCCCAAATAAGGTGCCAGTGTCAAGTAAGTAATGCTGATATTGAGAAATTTGCTTGGAAATGATGTAGATCACCCCGTAAATCCATAATGTTACCTTGAAACAAAATTTAGTGGCTTGGAAAAACTTCTAAGCATGATCTACCAACTGTCGGACAGCGTTTGCTAGCTCTGGAAATAGGACAGAAGTGGAGAGGTCAGTTTATGATGTGAAGTCAGAGAATGAAAAGCATTTGTTCTGGGTTCGTATGTCTTGGTATATCAGACCTTTATACACTGGATAGTCAAATCATGAAACTCAGTGATTCGTGATGTTATTGAACAGTATGGTGGCTTATTAGTAAGGGGACTCAGCTTCAAGAAGCAAGTTTCATGTTCAAACCCTACCTTCTTGGTTTTCGTTGTGGAACTTAACCGTATTATTACCCCTTAAATAGAATGGTTCAAAACAGTAAATATAAAAGTATACTTAGTACATGAATTAAATTATTACGGTAAAAAGCGACACTAGTGCCAATCATGTTGAAGTTTAATACACACCCTCAAAATGTTATTATTAGGAAACCAAAATACTCTTTTAGTTTTGGACATAAAAGAAAAAGTGAAAAGCAACTCCAAGTAATTACTCAGTGAAAATAATACTTGGTGAATAGAATGGCATGACGAGTTTCTAACCAAACTAGGAAAAAATACTATCAGTTAAAAGTTAACAAACCACAAAGCGAGAATTGACTCGTTGTAATGTTTCCTTTTCCATCATGGCCATATTTTCTGCATGACGTTTTTTCATGCGTTTTTTCTCCATTTTCTTGCAAGCGTATAACTTCCCAGTTGCCCGAACTTGACAGGCACACACCTCTCCAAATCCCCCTTTGCCTAAGACTCGGTACATTCGAAAGGTGTGTTTGCTGACTGGTGTTCTGAAAGTGTGAAACAAATTGGCAATTTAGCTTGAATTCAAAAAATTCTTGTCACATCTTAAGATGTACATCGATGAGGGAAAATTAGATGAGTTATCCTACTGGCATCTAGGATCCATAAACAACAAGAATTAGCTATTTTTAGTTTCCAAAAGTTATATTTCATTATTCAGAGATTTTATAGGACACACATCGGTGCCCTTTACTAGCCATACTCGAATAAAGCTGAATTTACTAGTTGAGTTCCCCTAAAATGTTTTTCAGTAACACTAAAAGCACTCACTTTTAAGTGAATGTTATGGAATAACCATTAAATTTTTTTATCCCTAATATCTAGATAGTTAACATTTTACTGGAAGAATCTAATACCATCAATACACAGACAGTAAGATTGTGTTACGGAAAATATAGTCTTTTGAATGATGAACCTTACACGAAATGACAAGCATTTGAAACTGTGAAACAAGCTAGAAATAGCTTGCAATCATGTATAAACTAAGTATAGTGGTAGTAGTATTGGCCAGTCGAACGATGAAAAAATTAGTAAGACAGAGGCATGTTTAAGTCTACGCTTTCTCGCTTAGAGTCAACAAACAGAAAAAATCAATATCAAGGAAGATGAGAGAACTAAAACCACAACACTAATGACAACAGAACGCAAAAATAGGGTAAAATGTCTGCAGTAATTGAAGTGAAGGAACAACAATTTTCACAATGTATTTATTTAAAATAAAAGCCGTTGTTCAAAAAACGCTGTTTTATAATATTTCCTCTAATGTTGAGAATTAATATGACCTGATTAAAAATGCTTTCCAAAATAAACAGGATTATTAACCTTATCGGATGGTTGAAGGTATGTTGAAGTTTAATAGCTCAAAATACCATTATACATGACTTTGAATTACAATTACAGAACAGTTCAACTACTACTAAGACTGACACTAGACTAAACTATAAAGTGAAAACTAAATATTCAGAAAAGAAATTTCTAACGCTACTGAACAATCAGTTGAAATACTACCACAAAATTCTTCCAAAAACCTAAAGATCTTAGTCCATTTCACTAGAACTTTAGGGGAAGTATATCAAGGCAGAAAAGATGTGAATTTGTGACAGATAAACCTACTTTTCTAGCCATTTCCATTGAAGATAGCGATTAAAGTAGACTGAATTTAGAAATTCAGAAAATGGTGAATTTCGTAAGAAATCTTCAAGGATCTTGAGGATTGAACGAAAGAGTTCTTTGTCAGGATAAGCGTCATTGGACTCCTCTAGAGCAATTAACACTGAGTTATCGTCAATGTTTCCAAGCTGATGGAACCTTTTGCCACTCTAAGAGTACAATAAGAAAAAGGATATGTTACCATGTCTGAGAGAAACCTGCGGTAGATTTCCAACCCAATCTTCTGACGTTCGTTAGGAATGCACACCGCAAATGTGTTCTAGAGATGAAAAATACAAAGCAGGATAATAAAGCGTACAATAGAATCCACAAAATCAACGACATCCGAAATGAAATTATTGCTCCTACAGAACAACCGAAACAGTCTCTTTCCAATCGGCTGCTGCTCCACAATAAAATCATAACTCAAATCTGCGCGAGAGAGGATTAGTAAAATCATTTCATGAATACCTAAGCAATTCTTCAAGTATAAACAATTAGATATGTGAGGGAAGGCTAGTAATGTTCTCCACTTTCTGCTTCGACCTTTGTCTCCATCAGCTCCACCTGAAGTTAAACATTTTACCATATAACTTACTTCGTTTAGCCTTTATATACACCGTATTTGCAACAATATTTTCCAACTCCATACTTCATCATTAGATAGTAGAGTAGCGCATAGCTTAAGAATGAGACGTTCACCTGATGTACAATACGTCAAGAAATAATAATGAATTAGTATATATGCCAAACGTTCTCCGATGTTGACGTGATTCTATGCAGTTCTCACGACACTTCAAATCTTTTACTCGATTGACGGTCTTTGTTTATCTCGATCCTACTGATGTAGTAAGCAGCTTGTTTCTACTAGCTCAGTCTCGGGACGTGGGTGGCTAGGATTTGTCCGACTCTTCTGTCTGAACCATCTCCAACATAAGAGCATGACTATTCCTCGGTCAAACTAATGCTCTTCAAATCTACATACCGCAGCAAGATTTTGAGTAAATCTACCCTAACATTCTCGTAAATGACAAAAGTAAAAGCAATTATCGAAGTTCTCTATCAGATATCAGTAGCACTTCTGAGATGGCAACCCTGCTTACAAGTGCCTCAAAAACTGCGAAGTTATGATATTATCAGTCGTTTACACACCATGCCTTAAAACACCTGCCATTAGCCTAGCAGCGTATATCCAGAACATACTTGCAAAGTTTTCCTTTTATAACAGCTATTCTCCACATAATAGGAAGCAAACGACTGGTTCCAAAGTAAACCTGTCCGATAACTGTGAAATTCACTTTTTAATGGTGGAGGAGAGCAAATTTTGGTTCCTACCAAAAAATCAGCCTTTCAGCGTATCTTCGGTGACTGATGGTTATAATGTTGTGTAGATAGGTCTGACAAGCTTATTTTGTAAATAGTTTTTAATATAATTTGTATTTATTTTGTCAATTTCTCACTGCATGAACATTTATCATTAAATGATTGTACCTATTGTTTAAGTAAATGACCTTGAAGACTTTTTCCGTTGTGATACTACATAGCGTGACATGTCGTTGCTGGTAAACAAATACACTGCTTCTCACACATCCTTCGTTTTGTTTTCATTCGAGATTGAGTTAACTGAGATCTAAAACAAATATTATTTACATTCATAGACTGTGAGAGCGAATACACCATACCTTACTTTGGATTACACCACTGTGGATTTCATCGATACGTTTGGAATTACCCAGCATCTATAATTGTAGATTTATTGTACCAGATTAAAGCTGAACACGCATCATTTCGGGTGAACTTAAGTAAAGTCCCATTTTATTGTATTTTTAACATTTAACTGATATATATTAATATTATTATTGTTTTTTATTAACTTTGTTGATACTTTTTGCGTTTAAATATCGTCTGGTCCACCACAATGTCATGATGAATAAAGATAAGCAAAAAAACCTCTCATTCCAGTGAATAATTTCAAAGCTGAAGAACAATCAGTCTAATCGACAATTTCAACACACTCATTCAATAACATAACAATACTGGTTACAACTGTTGTCATTGAATTTCATCACTGATTCTAGATTTGAACCACTAACTGCAAATCTCAAAGTGCACAACAGCAAATGTTGACAATATGGTGACCCTGGCCTCAGAAAAATCCATGTCGGCTCGAGTAAACAGGATACGTCATTGAACACCTCACCACTCCTGATATCAGCAGTGATAAAAATTTATGATCAAACGAAATCATTAGAAACTAATTTGATATATGGTGGTCACGGTCATTTAGAGGCAAATGCTCAGGGCTAAACAGATCAAATTTGTCACAAAACAGGAGGTGCTGGATTCTTTAACCACATTCAAATTATTTTCTCCTGGCTGGAGAGAGTTGATGTCTATATTGTTACGGAAAAAATGTCAAGCCCACCACAGCATCAAAGAATTGTGCTGAACAGTCTTTATTATTCCTGATTGCGTGGACCTTAGACCATTCCTCATATGAGGTACTCTCATTTGCTAAAAGAATGATTATTACTATAAATATGAAATAACAAATGCTTAAAATTTAACTCCCAAAAATGCTGGAGCCTTCTTTGATATGTTTTTTCGTAAACAAGTAATCTTCTTTTCAGAAAAGAATACCAGTTTTACAGAAATAATGGTCTGGGAATTCCTTCCAAATAGTCTTACTAGGCAGCATTGTTGTTTCATTTCTCTTTTAACCTGTTGTGTATCTTAACATCTAATCGAGATTCGCATACCCGTGGTTCAATATTTCTCACTCTCCATTTACTGGGAATTAATTTTCTGAATCTGTCTAGCACCTACCATCGCTATATTTTTTAGTTATTAATGAACCCAGGTCACTGACATTGAAGCTGTTTTCGACTGCATTTGGCGTATTTTGTTTGATCCGGTCCCATAAGGACGTAGGGGTGACAGTGAGTCGTGATCTTAAGACGACGGCCCATTGCCAATAGGTCGCAGCTAAGGGGTTTAGAACCCTCTGGGCTATAAAATGGACATTCACTAAGTTAGATACTATCATGCTCACCAAAGTATTCACATCCTTACTGAGAACTAAGCTTGAGAACTGCGTTCAGGCTGCAAGACCCTGTTTAAAGGGTGACTCGGATATTCTAGAAAAAGTACAGAGGGCAGCTACTCGTGCAATTCCAGAACTCCGGTGTTTATCATACAAAGGGCGGCTTGAAAAGCTGTACTTCTTTACTCTGTCCTATCGCAGATTAAGGCAAGATCTAGTTTTGATGTACAGAATACCGAGAAATTATTTCGGACCTAACTTGTCCTCTCTTTTTCTCCCCACTAGATCAGGATATCTCAGAGGACATAGCAGGCGAGTAGAAAGGCCAAGAACAAACAAAATACCCGTGGAATACAGGTTTTCACAGCGAGCCACCAATATGTAAACACGTACGGACAACTTAGTGCCCTGATTGGCCCTGCTTCGCTGTCTGTCCTAGCCAGTTGAGTCAAGAACACAAGTCACAGCCTCTGAGTTATGAATCATTATATTTCAAACATACTTTGTTTATATACCAATCAAGCATACCACATCGTACCATTAAATAGGAAACAACATTTACAAAATATTTAACAAGTGAAATAAACATCGACCAATAGGAAATGTACATTTAAGGTCCAAGGCCACCGTAGACTTAACACGACAATTATTGGTATATTTTTCCGACTATCCTAACAGAACAGCTTGAAAAAATTCCAACAGAGATCATGTAATGAATGTGCTCAATATGAGCGTTAAATCCATAAGTTAGATAGTTATTATCAGGTTAGTGAGGAATTATGTTTTCAATATACGTGTGTTTATACGTAAATAAACATATTCACGTGAATATATTCCTTCAGGAAGTATTTATTCATTTCGCTTTCGTACATGCATTGTTATCGCTGCATTCAAAAAGATTTTATCTGTACTTGTTTGGCGCGCTATTTAAAAAGGACAGTGGTATTTTTCTTCGCTGAGTAAATTTCATTGTTTTGGTCGTTTATTACGTATCAAGACTACTGTTTTCACTTTAACTGAATTTATTTCAATTAAAGTATTCGACTAGAGTACCGTTTTTGCCATTCTCTCAATTAGTTTTGTCGTTGGTACTCTTGAGTACCTCATTTTCAACTGTATCTGTTAGTAATTTTGGTCTTAACAATCTACAGTTCTTCACTTTTTTGTCATTGATTATTTTTTGTTTCTGAGTATCATCGCATCTCGTTCCTTTTTGAAAACGATTTTTCCTAAAATGACCGACAGTGTAAAAAAGCAGTTGCCAACGTCCGGGTTGTCGTTATCCCCTTGAAAGCGGAATGCAGTGCGACGAGTTCGAAAGCTGGTACCACGAAGTTTGCACGAACTTAACGCCTGCAGCTTTCAAACGGTTCAGTAAGAAGGGTTACGTATGGATTTTTCAACAGTGCTGTTCGGATACAGACAGCCTGTTAACCAAGGCCATCTAACTGGTTGATGCTGCAAAGAAGTGTTTTAGCAAGCGTGTATCCCATGAGAGTGGGACGTGTGAATTGGTTAGTCTTCGCTTGAAATGCAAGGGACAAGAGCTGCTGATTGGTTTGATCTATCGCAGTCCAAACTGTGTAGTAAATGAGGTCCTGCTAAGCAGTCTCAATACTTGGTCACAAAGTGGTCGATGTCTAATCCTAGGGGACTTTAATGCACCTACGGTAGACTGGGAAAATCTGCGAGCTGAATCGTCAGAAAATTCCTTCGAGCAGGAACTAGTTGATGCGGTTATCACATGTGCTTTAGTGCAACATGTGAAAGAAGCGACTAGGTACGACCCAGGCACTGAATCATCCTTACTAGATCTGATATTCACTCACTATGTGGATTACGTTGCTAACCTTCATTATATGTCACCACTAGGTAAAAGTGATCACGCAGTTTTAATTTTCGACTTCCATGTAACTGTCAGTCACGAGCACGCGTCAGCCCAATCCAGACCTAATGTCTGGAAAGCAAATATACCAGGTATCATGCACTCAGCATCGTTAGTAGATTGGACAATAGACCCAGAGTCCTCCATTGAAACGGCCTGAGACGCATTTAGAAATTCATACTTAAGAGTTGCCACACCCCAGATCCCTTGGACTATGCCAAGGACGCCGAGAAACTCCACGCCATGGTTCAGTAGGGAGGTTCACATCCTTCTCTGTAAGAGAAGAAAAATGTGGGATAGATTTAAGTTACTGGGAAGTGATGAAACTAAATCCCACTATAGAAAAGTCCGGAATACTTGTGCCTCGACCCTCCGTAAGTCTAGAAAGTTGTACGAAGAAAACATTGTTAGGGAATCCATAGAATGTCCTAAACGCTTGTATTCCTATATAAACCAAAGGACAAGGAGAAAAGAAAATATTCCTGCTCAATGGGGAAACAGTACCGCCGCGTCACTAGTGGAGGACGACTTTGGTAAGGCTCAAGTGTTCTCAAACTACTTCAGCAATGTATACGACATAGAAGCACCCTTCCCATCAGCGAATAAAAATCCCCCCACACACACTGGATAGCGTAACCATTAAATAACTCGATGTCTTTGGTCTACTAAATAAGCTTGACATAGGTAAATCCACGAGGCCCGATGAATTACATCCTAGGCTACTGAAGGAATTATCTAACTTCGTTGCGAACCCTTTAAGTATATGCTTTAACCTATCCGTAACGCAGGGCCGTTTTCGAACCACAAATTTTGGTATGTTGAAGAGTAAGTTTCTGCAAATG